CATTTCCTCATTTATATATCTACTGAAATAACATATGTGTTCAGTGAAATTTCAGTCAGAAGACAGACCTGTAATTCACTAAGTCTCTGATTCATATTTATATGATTTTTACACCAACATAATCATGTATTTCCTACAGTTCAAGACACAGAAATACTCAGTTTTTTAAATGCGCATCATACATAGGCATGAGATTCTTACTAGATTAAACCTGAACTTTTCCTTGAAATCTCACAGGAGAATTTAAACAAGCTGATGGCTAACTTGAGAAGCACTCACCCCCATTTTGTACGGTGCATCATCCCAAATGAAACTAAAACACCTGGTAAGGCAAGCCAAGGGGAGGAAAGCTTCAGCAGCAGAAGTTCTTCTCCTGAGTGTCAAAGAGCAGGGTAGTCACTAATGGTGGTATTTGTCAGGTGCCATGGAGCACGAGCTGGTGCTTAATAATGAAAATGTCCTTCAAGGACATTTGTGAGTTTTTCTTCTCCTGAGTGTCAAAGAGCAGGGTAGTCACTAATGGTGGTATTTGTCAGGTGCCATGGAGCACGAGCTGGTGCTGCACCAGCTGCGCTGTAACGGCGTGCTGGAAGGGATCAGGATCTGCAGGAAAGGGTTCCCCAGCAGAGTCCTCTATGCTGACTTCAAACAGAGGTAAGTGTTCTGAACCTTCCTGCTAATTCAAACCAAGCTGAACAGCCTGATCATCTTAACAATCTTTCCATTTTACATTGTCATGTTTTGTTGTGAATTTATGATTTTTATATGATGCTGATTGTGATGATTTACTTGGACTCTGAGTTAATTGCATGAATTGTTCTTGCACTCCCTTTCAGTGTCTTTCAAGTCTTGCACTGTCTTGAAAGAATGCACTCTCTAATACATGATATTATTCAGCTGTTGTTGAGTAGGCAGTGAGGTTCAATCACAGTGACGGTTTCAGAATTGTTGATTTCTTAATGTTCTGCTTTCTCCTACAGATACAGAGTACTTAATGCCAGTGCTATCCCAGAGGGACAGTTCATGGACAACAAGAAGGCTTCAGAGAAGCTTCTTGGGTCCATTGATGTTGACCACACCCAGTACAGATTTGGTCACACCAAGGTAGAATGAAGTTCTGTATTTAAATATAGTGTGCCCCAGTAATGCACTACCCAACAGTGATCCACTACAATCTTGCCTTTCTCAAGGTGTTCTTCAAAGCTGGACTGATAGGTGTGCTAGAGGAGATGAGAGATGAGAAACTGGCAGAGATTATGACCATGATACAAGCCAGGTGCAGAGGCTACCTGATGAGAGTGGAGTACCAGAGAATGGTGGAGCGGAGGTAGATACTTCTCCCTCATTTGTTATGTTCTAATGGTAGCTGGCTAATTGAGTCAAAATTCACTGAATACAGGATATTCAATAACCATGTGGATTTGTTTCCAGGGACTCCATCTTCTGCATCCAGTACAATGTTCGTGCATTCATGAACGTCAAACACTGGCCATGGATGAACCTGTTCTTCAAGATCAAGCCCTTGCTAAAGAGTGCAGAGTCTGAGAAGGAGATGGCCAACATGAAACAAGAGTTTGAGAAAACCAAGGAGGAAATTGCAAAGTCTGAGGCAAAGCGGAAGGAGCTTGAGGAGAAAATGGTGGCCCTGGTGCAGGAGAAAAATGACCTGCAGCTCCAAGTGCAGGCTGTGAGTATCACTTCCATTTTCCCCTGAACAAAGAATGATATACTGTCAGAATGCTTCTGGTCCTGCAAAGAGACTTGCAGGAATTAATGGGTGGAAGAAAACAGTCTAAATCACACATTCTCAGGCAAACTAATGGTGAGTAAACAGGAACTGGCAGCGGAATACTGAGACTCCTGGCAGACCCACATGGCACTTACCATTGCTGTTGTCTGAGGAAAGAGCCATGTAGCACCAGCCAATGAGTATTGGACAGTGGAGAACTTGGAGCTGGAAGAAAAACAATTTTCTGTCTAGCACCATTAAAGCAAACCTGAGAAAGACCCACTTTCCCTCAAACAAAATTAGGAAAATACAATTTGACCAAAGAAAAACAAATCTTTCTTCATTGAGGTATTCCCATAAACTTCTATTAATCAAATACAATGAAGTTAAATAATCAAATAAGCAGAAAAAGGCGTTGCATATTTTTACCAACAGAAAAATACTCCAAGCCATTTTTCCTGCTGAAACTAGAAACTGAAGTAACCCTTATTTCATTATGCTTGTGGATGCTATGAGACATTCTCATAGCTAGTAACCCTGGGAGACATATTTGGAGACACAAAAACTTTGGAATAAATATTGATTCCAAATGAAAAGGTTTTCCAATAGAAACACTCAGGATCCTTCTGTTGCTGGAAGTGAAGGTCAGGTTCAACTGCTACTCAGTAATAAAGAAGGCAGAGCAGAGAAAGTTCAAAACATTAGAACCCACAAATTTCTGTCTCCCCACCAGGAAGCAGATAGCTTGGCTGATGCTGAGGAAAGGTGTGACCAACTCATCAAAAACAAAATCCAGCTGGAAGCAAAAATTAAGGAGCTGACTGAAAGGGCTGAAGAAGAAGAGGAAATTAATGCTGAGCTGACAGCCAAGAAGAGGAAGCTGGAGGATGAATGTTCAGAGCTGAAGAAAGATATTGATGACCTTGAGCTAACACTGGCCAAGGTGGAGAAGGAAAAACATGCCACTGAAAACAAGGTAAAGCACAGGGGGTCACAGAGCTGGTTGAAAAGTCAGTGTTTTTGTGAGCAAAAGAACAAACCAAGAACATGTTACCTTTTCAACACATGAGCTGAGCCTGACCTAAGAAGTGAAAGGAAAAGCACAACATCTGCCTAAGCACAGCAGAGAGAAAATTTCACCAAATCAGCCAGACTGTTTTGCACCGAATTTTGACAATTGCTTTTATTTTTAGGTGAAAAACCTGACTGAGGAGATGGCAGCCCTGGACGAGACCATTGCCAAGCTGACAAAAGAGAAGAAAGCCCTCCAAGAGGCCCATCAGCAGACCCTGGATGACCTGCAGGTAGAGGAAGACAAAGTCAATACTCTGACCAAAGCCAAGACCAAGCTGGAACAGCAAGTGGATGATGTAAGCACACAGCCATAGAGCAGGAACAGGACAGGTATGGAGTCCAAGCTGGCTGGCAGAGCCCTGATGGTCTTGTTGTGTTCAGCTGGAAGGGTCCCTGGAGCAAGAGAAGAAACTGCGCATGGACCTGGAGAGAGCAAAGAGGAAACTGGAAGGAGACCTGAAGCTGGCCCAGGACAGCATCATGGATTTGGAGAATGATAAGCAGCAGCTGGATGAGAAACTCAAGAAGTAAGTGTGGCTCTGGGGCACCTGGGTGCTGGGCTGCAACACTTGTCTCTTTTCTTTGAGCTCTAACATGGTTCACTTGGTCCAAAGGAAAGACTTTGAAATCAGCCAGATCCAGAGCAAGATCGAGGATGAGCAACTTCTAGGCATGCAGTTTCAGAAGAAAATCAAGGAGCTGCAGGCAAGTGTCTGTTCCTTCCCCTGCCTTGCTCAGGCTCAGCTCAGGCATGAGGAGGGCACGGGAGTGAAGGGTCCCTGCTGTTCTGCAGGCCCGCATTGAGGAGCTGGAGGAGGAAATTGAGGCAGAGCGAACCTCTCGCGCTAAAGCAGAGAAGCATCGCGCTGACCTGTCCAGGGAGCTGGAGGAGATCAGCGAGCGCCTGGAAGAAGCAGGAGGGGCCACAGCAGCTCAGGTGGAGATGAACAAGAAGCGCGAGGCAGAGTTCCAGAAGATGCGCCGTGACCTGGAAGAGGCCACGCTGCAGCACGAAGCCACGGCTGCCGCCCTGCGCAAGAAGCACGCGGACAGCACAGCTGAGCTGGGCGAGCAGATCGACAACCTGCAACGCGTGAAGCAGAAGCTGGAGAAGGAGAAAAGTGAGCTGAAGATGGAGATCGATGACCTGGCCAGCAACATGGAGTCTGTCTCCAAAGCCAAGGTACGAACTTGCACAAGAAAATGCTCACAGGGACAAAGTGAGGCACAAAAGCTGACTCTTCCACACACATTCCCAGAGACAAAATCTCCACTGTCACAATAAGGCAGAGTGCAGACCATCATCTCTTTTCCTTTGCCATGTTTCCCCTGTAGGCCAACCTGGAGAAGATGTGCCGCACACTGGAAGATCAGCTGAGTGAGCTTAAAACAAAGGATGAGCAGAATCAGCGCATGATCAATGACCTCAACACGCAAAGAGCTCGTCTGCAGACAGAGTCAGGTGAGACATCCTTATCCCAACGTTCAATGGCAGGACCTGCATGCTCTGAGCAAGCCAGAGAGTACAAGGTGGCAGCTGGAATAAGCTCTCCAGGCCATTCCTGGTTACATGGTTTTACAGGCAGAAGGTGTCATCGAAGTAACAGTCTGCTTCTTTTTTTCCCTTTCCTTATCCAGGTGAATATTCCCGCCAGGTGGAGGAGAAAGATGCTCTGATTTCTCAGCTGTCTAGGGGCAAGCAAGGATTTACCCAACAGATTGAGGAACTCAAGAGACATCTGGAGGAAGAAATCAAGGTCTGGAAGTACCCTACTGTCCACAGCCTACATCATCCCCAAAAGCATCTGCAGAATCCTGTCTGACACTAGACTGCCTCAAAGTTCCTTCCCTAAACACACATAGGACTGGAAGGAAGAGCACTAATGCACAACCCCTCACTCTTCCTCTAGATAAGGAAGGAAGCTGATCTTTTAGGTTCTGGAGGAAGTAATCCACAAATTTTCCATGCAATTCTGATGATCCCCTCTGAGACAGGATTCCACCACGCATTTAAACAAGCAGCAGATTACTGTCCTCAGAGGAGCCGTCACTCATGTGTCCAGATGCTCCAAAACCTGTCTATGAGGGCTTCACCAGCTCCATGATATACATTTGCCCAATTGGAGTTTCATTCCATTTTCATGTTCGAGTTTACAGTCAAGAGGGATATAAAGATGAGTATTGAAGTTTGCTAAACCAAATGTCCCCACAGGCCAAGAACGCCCTGGCCCATGCCCTGCAGTCCGCTCGCCACGACTGTGACTTGCTCCGGGAACAATATGAGGAGGAGCAGGAGGCCAAGGCAGAGCTGCAGCGAGCCATGTCTAAGGCCAACAGCGAAGTGGCCCAGTGGAGAACCAAATACGAGACGGACGCGATTCAGCGCACGGAGGAGCTCGAGGAGGCCAAGTATGTGGGGAAAAAGGATGGGAAATGACTGGAGAAGACTGAAACTGGTCAAAGGAAATTGGAATCTCTGAGAGTGGGCTAAGACAAGGGTGGGATAAAAGGCAAGGATATAGTGTATTTGTAAAATACGGGAGAGAGAGAGGGAGAGAAAAAGTATAGCTTGGAAGAGAAAACATATTCATTAGAAGTGTTAAGACACACCTAATCCTCCACAGGTTATAGGACAGAGAAATTACATATTTGTCAAAAGTGCTTGTCTAAAAAATCTCAAATCAACAAAGCCGACCTCCTATGACATTGTAGAATTGAAAACCTTCCAAACTCTAATGTGCAAGTGTGCTTGTCTCCTTTGAGGTACAGACAGTGCTGATTAATGATGCCTCCACAAAGAGTATGCATGTAGTCCTTTGGAGAGAGGGCTGGAAAGGAAGCCTACCTTTCATATGGAACTGCATGAAAGATTCTGCAAATGAAAGTGAAATCCTACAAGAGACAGGCTGAGGAGGCTGTAAGTATTGCTTGGAGAAAGGGCAAAAGCAAAGATTCCATTGGGGCAGCACACACCTTGAATGGGTCTGAGTAGCAGGAGAGGGGTATGAAAGAATCTCCCAAGACAAAACTGTCTTGGCCACACTGCTTTGCTATGGTTTCTTGAGGACTTGGTGAGCTCTGGGCACCCTGCAGTCAGGGACATTCATCAAGGAAACTTCTGCATTAAGGGAAGGGGCATGGAGATTTTCAGACCCATAAGGCTGACTGCTGCAGGAGTGGAACCCTTGCCCTGGGCTCCTCACCCCATATTCCCTCTCCTCTCACAGGAGGAGCTGTCCAATGTCAACCTCTCCAAGTTCCGCAAGATCCAGCACGAGCTGGAGGAAGCCGAGGAGCGGGCTGACATTGCAGAGTCTCAGGTCAACAAGCTCCGAGCCAAGAGCCGTGACATTCATGGCAAGAAGATAGAAGAGGAAGAGTGAGGATGTCATGAGACAGCAAAGTGACCTGAGGGCTGCACAAAATGTGTGCCCCCTGTCACTTCCTTCTTTCTGCAATTTTTGCTTTAAGCATTTTAATGTCTAGAGAATAAATCCTGTAGATTCCTTTGTGTGCATACCATGAGCAGTACTTTTCATTTCTTTCTGGTTTTATTGGTTTGACCTTGATTACCATTTTTGGTACTGTTTTGCATTTTTTTTCATTACAATCTCTGTGTACTCATGTCACAATGTAGCTTTTTTGTCATCTAGTTCCTGACTATTTATCCCTTCTTTTTTTCTTAGTGACTGAGGTGTGACTAGAAAAATAACATCACATGAAGAGAAGTCAATAATTCCTGACTGTGACTTCTGCAAGTTCTTCCTACTGGTATACCCCAGACAATATCTTTTGTTATATTCACCCTTATGGCAGCTCAGCACTTTCCAGCTTGCTGTTTTCAGGTGTGAGATGCTTCTTTTGCTGGCCTCTGAGAGTGATTTATAGAGTGGTAATAACCCAAAGAATTTATGCCATTTTTTGTGAAGCTGACCAAAAGTAGTCTTTCGTTTCCACTATTTTTTTCCTTTAATTTAATTAGAAGACTATGAAGAGTATCACAATCCCTTGAATTATAACTGGAGAAGGTTGGTGACAATTCTGTGAGAATTACTTTAGTTTCTATAAATTAGATCAGTGTCTACAAAAGCTGAATTTCTGCCACACTACTTTCTGAAATGCTGCCCTGTCTTGGGGAATTTTTCTTTCCTGAGCAAGATCAGCTGTTTGATGAGGTGTTTTCCTTACTGGTGTTGTAGAAACTCATAATCCACACAAGGAGCTTCTCTCACTAGCCTGTGGGAGGAGAGGTCAGAGAAGACAGCAGGGAAGAGACAGGTTGCAGTAGTCCATCAGTGAAAGGAAAACACTTCATTAGTAGCTGTAATTTTATTAGTAGCTGTTCAGATGAATGATTTTTCCATTCAATGTGCAAAAGAAGCAATAAAGAAGACAGGCAAGTAAATAGCAGATTCTGAGGCTGAGCAGAGATCTGCATAAACTGACATTGAAGACTTGAGTGCAGGGGGAGAAAGTTACCATGCTCAGTCCCAGGCCCTGGCTCCCAGGGCAGAGTACACTGAATTCCCAGGGAGCACTGGACCAAGCATATGTAACACCTCCAGGGAAAGAATTGGTATGGGAAACTGAGAGGGTTTATGTCCTTCCAAAAGGAGCAGTCTGTTAAATTCCAGTCAGCCTTACATATGAAAAAACACACAAAACTTTGAGAGGATAGATGAGTGTGTGGACAGAGAGATACAGATAATATAATTGACCAGGATTTCCAAAAGTTTTCAGCAAGGTTATGAAAGCCAGCAAAGGCTATTATAGAAGTGATGAAGCCATGGGATAAGAAGGAAACCTCTTAGTCAGATGGAGACAGAATAAAAGAGTTATGTATACTGAGGCATGTGTTGTCCAATCTACTGGTAAAGCAGACAACATCAAGCTGGATGTTTCAATTGATAAACCAATGGGAAGGAATGTCATCCAGTTAAAGAGCTGTCATGAGACCCCATCTGTAGTGCTGTATTCAGCTGTGGGACCCCCAATAAAAAAAGGACAATGGACCAGGTGGAGCAGATGCAGAGCAGAGCCACGAAAAAGAAAAAAGATCCAAGTCCTGGAATGCCTCTGGTATGAAGAAAGGCTTACTTAGTTGTACCTGCTCAGCATGGAGATGAGAAGGCTCTGAGAAGACCATATTGCAAATTTTCAATATATAAAGGCACCTCTTTAGAGAGGGAAAGACTTTTTACCTAGGCCTGTGGCCACAGGATAAGGGGAAAATTTCTTAAATTAAAAAGGGTAGAATCTGTTTGGATATAAATTGATATTTTTTAAGAAGAGCCCAGTGAGACACAGGAACAGACAGGCCCCACAACACAGGAATGTTCCATGGAAGTGTGCAAGCTTAGGTTGAATGGGGCTTTGAGCAACCTGATCTAGTCAAAATTCCTACCCACAGCAGTGGTGTTGCACTAGATGATTCTTTTAAGGTTTCTTCCAACCCAAACCATTCTCTGATTTGTGCTCTAAGTTCTGTATGTCCATGGAAGTCAGAGATTGCGCACACACAGGACTTCTGATGCCCCCCTTCACTCACAGCCTTATACAGGTTGTTGCTGTTTCTATTTTAGAGAGCTCCTCCTGTTCAGGGCAGAGGGTGTTTCCATCAGCTTCCCCCTGCCCTGAGCAGGGATCCCAGGGCTGAGCTCTGGTTCTGAACTCCAGAAAGTTGCATGCTCATCCTTGGAATAAGCTTTTCCTGCCAGTGCTTATTGTTGGATATCTTGGATCCCATTTACTGACCTTGCCCCTCTGCACTTCATTGAGCTTTACCCAGTGAGCTCTGTTAATAATCAAAATGCCAGTGACCAGGAGAAGAGCGTGCTCAGAACTGACAGTTTAAAGCAGCTCAAGTGACAGTGCCCTTTTTCCTAGAACTTGAACACTCATTCTCCAGAACTACTGGCAAATTCCCCCTTTCTCAGAGTATTGCCTACAGCAATGCTGCTCCAAATTAGGCAGCACTGTGTTGAGAGCTCTTGTTGCTGGAGCTATATGAATATGTAAGAGTGCAAGATATTTGTGATTTGGGAGTGCTGGACTGAGGACGTGTCAGAATGGAGAGGATCCCAGACCAATGCTGTGTGTGTGAATGTGGGTAGAGTTGTGTTTGGGCAGAAGGGTTGAGGTTTTTTTTGAGTTGTAGGTAGTGAAGGCCTGACTTGGTTGACAGCATTGCTTGGTATACATTGACAATAAGCACATAATATTAGCAACATGGGCCTGAGCTCTTTAAGGCAAGTTAGCACTTCATGTTTGTGTGAGATGAAACAGGAAGTATCACTGTATATTTATTGACACTATGTCTACTGGAGGTTAAAAGTATTTCCTGGTCTAGGTTATTTTGCTTCTTAGGCTCTCTTAACTCTTCAGAAAATTTTAATAAATTTTTAGAAACAGAAAAAAATTTATATTAATAATTTTCCTGTTAATAAATGTGATTGCTATACATTTCTTCTGTATCAGCTCTGTAACAGAAGCATCAACTTTTTCACAACCTGAAATTATTTGCAAAAAACAGTATAATTTTTTTTTCAAGTGTGAGATTTTATGAATAATGTTTGTTTGAAACTATGCAGAATTTTCTGTTATATCACTTATGACTGACTATTGCAATAGTGAGCATTCCTCTAGTATGCACATTTTGAATTTTTTGATTTCTGCAAAATACCAAGTGATGATTTATTCACATACATATTCAATTGCTTTTATAGCTAAGGAGTCACATTTCACACTGAAGGCACAAACCACATGTCCAAACTTGAAACCGTATTTGACCTTGCTGTCTGTTGGATTCTTCTCTATCTGATATTCCTGGCCCACTGTACGCCTGGTTTTCCCCTTTTTCTTATAATGCATAATGAATCACTGAAAGAGTTTTAATACTAATTTGTCTTTTGTAGAGCTGCCTTTTCTAATGATGTAAAGGCAAGCTCTAAGTTCATAGGACCACATGTACAAGATACATTACATTATTTCCCTTTTACATCTGCAAAAGTACAGAAATGCCAAAGAAACCCATCTGGATCAAAGATTAAGTTACCTGTAAAGATCATAGAAGAACCAATAAATCATACACCCAAGTTCTTTAAGTGCCTTGACTAGTCCAGATTCCAATATTAATAGCCCTGTCAGACTATTTATAGGAAGTGTATCTACAGGGATGGTAAGATGCAAAACATTTCTAAATATATCAGGTCAAATGACAATTATGCCATTAGTTAAGTTTGCCAGACAATATTTTGCCAAAGATGGTTTGCCAAAATATATTTTGACAGAAGGAAAAGGAAACATCCAAAGCATCTGCATACCAGAGTCTATAAAAGTCTCTTTGGAGTGCTGTGCCCAGTCTTGACAGAAAATTTCGAGGTAAGTGTTTGGCTCCTGTGAACTGCGGGGCAAAACATATACATTTTATTCCATTTAACTTCCTATAAGACTTGGATATCCACTTCTGTCATAGACTGACTCTATCAGCAGTAACTTTATTGTAGGTTTGAAGGCAGCATGTTTTCCATCAAGTTATATATTAGATCTGAATATCTGTGCAACACAAAACTGAGTTTTTATGTTTTCAAGTAGCAGTGATGTCTGCCACCAAAATCAATAACAAAATTTAACACCTTTTAAGGAACAGGATGAAATCCAAGATTTTAAGATTTGTGGAAGGACTAACAAGCAATAGTAACATTTATATCTGTTATAAAGCAAGATGAATTATCCATAGCAAATAATTTTTAGAAAGCCATCACTTGCTATCAGGAAAAGAACTATTTCAGAGTCTTTCAGTAGCATTAAAAAAAACCAAAACAGAGGCTCTCTTATGGGAACAGCCAAATTTGCTAGAGTTCACAAAGTTGAAATAATACTGTCCAACTTCATGACATACTGTACACTTAACTGCTGTCCTGTACGTGGTCTCTTAGCTGGATGTCTAAGTATTAATTTTAGAGAGCTATGTAAGTATTTTCAGCCAAGACTGGGAAGTTTAAATCCAACTTTTGACTTGCTTTTACCTGCTTTCATATTTGAAAAGATCAAAGTGCAAGAGATCTCCTTTTTTCCACATGAAGATGTTCATTCACTGACACAACATATCTTGTAGCCTACGGAGGACCCTGCTGACTGTGGCTCCTGAGGAAGTGCAACAATGGCGACTCCAGACGCTGACATGGCCGCCTTTGGCGAGGCGGCGCCTTACCTCCGAAAGTCAGAGAAGGAGAGAATTGAGGCCCAGAACAAACCTTTTGATGCCAAGTCCTGTGTCTTTGTGGTACATGCAAAGGAGTCCTATGTGAAAGGGAAGATAGAGAGTAAGGATGCAGGGAAGGTCACTGTCAAGACTGAAGGGGGAGAGGTGAATAAATGCAGAATGTACAAATAAAATTTAATTTCCTCTCTGGGTTCATAGATGACATTACATGCATCTCTCTATTCTGTGACAGACCCTGACTGTGAAAGAAGATCAAATCTTCTCCATGAACCCTCCCAAGTATGACAAAATTGAGGACATGGCCATGATGACCCACCTGCACGAACCCGCTGTGCTGTACAACCTCAAAGAGCGTTACGCAGCCTGGATGATCTACGTAAGTGGCAGCAGCAGCTTCCTCTGGGCAGCCTCAGGAGCTGCTGGGCCAGGCTCAGGGGAAGCCAAGGTGCTGTGTCCCTTCCTTGCAGACCTACTCGGGTCTCTTCTGCGTCACTGTCAACCCCTACAAGTGGCTGCCGGTGTACAACCCCGAGGTGGTGTTGGCCTACCGAGGCAAGAAGCGCCAGGAGGCCCCTCCACACATCTTCTCCATCTCTGACAACGCCTATCAGTTCATGCTGACTGGTGAGTTTCATGATTTTCTTTAAAATCACTTGGCTGTAAACACAAAGGAGGAAAAAAGTATTTTCACTGCACAATAGTTCAGTTTAATGTTGCTGTGAATGTGGATGTTCTGTCATCACTGTAAATAGATTTTTTACTGAACATCATAATTTAGGTAAAGTTTATAGAAAACAATGTTAAATTTTCATGTCCAGTGTATTTGAGAGGATATGATTTAACACTGAATATATTGTCAGATTTTCCATTCAAGAAATTTGAATATACTTTAAAGCTCTACTTTTTTCTCAGATGAAAGGATTGTTCTTTGAATGATTTGCTATGCAGAACGAAAAATAATTAGACTGAATTTCTGTAAATAACACTGTGTGTAAAAGGAAAGTACTTTCAACATTGGAGCCAATATTTCCTATGGTAGCTTTACAAAAATTCTTAAATCAATCTCAGTCAGAAATTGCAGTGAAACCTGCTCGGAAAATTGATGACTTCCTTCCTCTGTCTCAGAATGAATTTTTTGTTTTTCATTCATTATTATAAAGGAAAGAAATACCAAAGAAGGGTAGTGACAATATTTCTGGCACTGTCTAAATATCCAGAATTTTAGGATAGAGCAGATTGGTCAGAAATATAGATAACAGTATAATAACATGTATTTTAATTTGTTAAAAGAAATCTTCTTCCCTCTTCTGTCCCCAATTATTGTATTTAAATCTGTAGCATTCAGAGCATTCAGAAAGTTAATTGGAAGAGAATACAATGAAAACAAACAATATTAAATCGATGTTTGAGTAGTGTGTCTTATCAGGGTTGTATTCATGTAAGTTGTCATATATTGACCCTTGATGACACATTCATAAGACATGCAGAAATTTTGTGAGTGCAAACCCAGACTCCTCGACTACAAGCTAGTTCCCTAATTGTTTAGACTCTTCATACTTCCTGAAGATTTTTCAGTTTTTATTGTGCAAATATTTTGTCAATGGAGTTGCAATGGGAGCATAGGTTAGAAAAGCAACCAGACAAAATTGTGGAAAGCAAACTCAGCTCAAGATATAGCAGAGAGAAATATTGACTCCAGGTGTGCAAGTACCAAAATTTGAATATTCTAGATCATAGCAGACTGGTTTAGTAAAGGTTACTACATATTTACGATGTTACTCTGACTTTCCTTTGGCAATAATCAATTGGCCAACAACATTAAAAACCATTTAGGAGGCTTATTGATTGATCAGGAATAGTTGCTCCAATGTAATAAAGATTATGAGAAGCACATGCTCCAGTTCAAATAAGCTTACTGATAGAGAATTTAATCAGTAACTCTACAAAACAGATCATTAGTTGGAATAATTTTTATAAACAAAATTAATAGTATGACATGAAGGGAATAGTCAGAAAAAGAAGTATATCTGTGCTATACCTGGCATCACCTCAACTTCAAGACATCAGCTTCCCAGCTGGATCTAGGAACATTAAATATTGAAAAGGGAGTAGGGGTGAAGGTAGAAAGGTTTATTAATGGAAATAGACGCCTACTGCTAGTGCACCTTCTAAAAGTCACAGAAACAATTTAACCAATGATATTTGGTGACACATAATAATAATAATATCTTCTTTTCTGCC